TCTTAGGATACTTCTCAGTCGTCTTGTAGTAGTTGATAACCTGTCTTCCCTTTCTTACCTGCCCCAGGAGTGCACATACATACACTGAGGGGGTTAGTTCTAACATTCCCCTAAGAGTGAAGATAAAAAAAAAACCAAAACCTCTTAACTGATCAGATTTTGAATGCTCCAAATACCCAAGTATTTGGTATTGCTAGCAGCCATCAGGCACAACTGTTTCAAAAAAGGTAAAAACAAACAACAGTGAAAAAATCCACAAGCCATAGCATCAGAGACTTAAAGACGTTTCATTCTAAATTTAGTACAGTATATGCAACTTGGGAGTTGCAGCTACTTTTATGGTCAGAAATGCTGCAATCTTTTTTTTTTCTATGTAGGACAGGCAGAATTTTAAGATTACCCCCAATGGCTCACAATCCTGTTTAATCCCCTTGCATTGAGTGCAGGAGGGACCTGTGAATGTGATAGGACATCACTCCATGATTAGGTTATGTTAGAAGGTACAGCTGACTTTAAGAAAAGGAGATTATCTGTGATAGATCTGACATAATCAAGTGAGCCCTTAAAAGGGGCAAGACTCCTCCCTGGTGAAAAGGATTCAAAGTGCCTGCGATTCTACATGAGGCAGATTCTTCCGTGCTAGCTTTAAAAATAGAGAGGGCCATGTGGCAAGGAACACAATCAAGTTCTAGAAGCTAAGAATGGCCCCTGTCTGACAGCCAGTAAGAAAACAGAAACCTCAGTACTACAATCACAAGGAACCTGATTCTGCCAAGAACCTGAATCCTTGAAGTGGATCCTTGCCCAGAGCCTACTAATAAGAATGCAGCCCAGCCAAAAAGACATCCTGAAAGTGAAGACCTGAGCAGAAAACACAAATGAACTATACCTAGACTACTGCCCAACAAAATTGGGAGATAATAAATGGGTGTTAGTTTTTTTAAGCAACTGAGTTTGTAATAACTTACTATGCGGCAATGGAAAATCAACCCACTGGGTATCTCAAAGGATGCATCAAGACTGATTTTTAGGACTTTCTCAAAGTTTCAACCCAATAAATATTTCTAAACTACTAGTAACTTGTAAAGTTTACAGAATATTTTCTCATATACACTTTTATTTAATCATCTCACCAAACTCAGTAAAAAGAATATCCTTAAAATTTTTTTTAAATAGAGTCTCATATAGGGTAATTTTATTACTCAAGATCACAAAGGCACACAGTGTAATGATGCCTAAAATTTAAAACAAGGCAAGGTATAATTAAGTAATGATGCTCTTAAAAGTGTGAGGCCAGAATCAGTATTAAACACTAAAGACTATCCAGGACTGGGGCTGGAGTGAGACAAGTGAGCTATTCACCTTGAGCTCAAAATTTAAGGTAAGGAGGGGACCAAAAATCTCAGTTATCATGATAAATTACATCTCAATTCAATATTTTAAAAAATCAAAATAAATGCCAAAATCCATGATAAGAAAATATCACACTTTTAAATAAAAACACCATCCACTGGCTAAAAATAGGGTTAGACAAGTGAGGCACTTACTCTCGGTTGTACAAGTGCAGGGTCAGATCCTGTCTTTATTTAAAACTTTGATGTTTTTATTTATTTACTTGATTATTTAAAATAAAGAAAATTTATTTATTTTATTATTCACCTCACCTTAGTCCCGGTCCTGACTCAGTAACATGTACCCTTTGACACTTCCTTATCTTCTATTTACTAGGAGGTATTAATACATTCTATTCCTGAAATAAACTCTCTACTCAGTTATCTTGGTTGCCTGGCAAGTGGCGAAGTTAAGTGTTCAAAACTATAATTCTCTTAATCTGACAAAGGGACTCCTGGCTGTCAGTCTTAGCATAGTATCACAGGTATTAGGCTCACTGAAGACAGGGCATCCATTCCTCTAATATGTCCTGTTTCTCCTTAACAACATTATCTTGGCTGGAGCTGATGTCTGAGAGAATGAAGCAAGGGGATGAGGAAGCCTTCAGAAATTCTCCTCCATTGGCAGTGTGACCACTGAAATGTTTGCAATGGTACTGGAAGTAGCAGGCGTAAGTGTGGACAATTTGTCCAAGTTGGACTGTAACAGAAAGTAAAGGTGAACAAAGTCTTCAGCCACTGAAAGGCTCAAGTTACTGTCTGGGGTCAAATCACTCTAGACGACTTCTGCTTGAGAAGGCATTATTATACCATTCCGGGAGAAGCAGGAGGGGCAGAAGGACAGAGGGAGAGGAGGGCTATAATTGATAAAGATTCTAAAATAGTTCTAACAGCTGGTTTATGACTTAAGACTCCTTACCCACGGTTTGATTGTCTTTGCTCTGTAATAGTCTATATTTCCAAGCTTATTAATTTAGAAACAGGTCCCAAAATGTTAGCTATTCAAGAAATATTCATTCAAAAATCTAAATATTTAATTACTAACAAGTGAAATGAGAGGTTGGAAGAATTATTTTAATAAATTGAGACAACATATTAGCATATTTATTCAAATAAATCAGATATTTTTGCCTTGACTACATTCACAGAGTCCTGATATGAAGTCCACTAGGACAGCTCTATATTGAATGTTTGTGAACCCAGAGGAAAGAGTGCCACAGTAAAACAGTTTGTGTTTTACATCTACATTCGTATAAGCTAAGATAATAATAACACTTATACTAATGGTCATATCCACGTTAGAACTTATAAACTAAAAAAAAATTAAACTCAACTAGCATAATGACTGGTTAGTCATATAGAAAGAACACAGAAATGGTACCCCCTTCAAAGAAAGCTAGCTTTGAAAAAATCATAGTTAAATTTTCTATATCTTCTAAAATTACAACTATCTGTAGTCACAAATAACATGTCATGTGACCAATGCTAGAGCCTAAACATTGATTATTCTAATGTTGTTCACTGATAATCATTAATAACAGATGAATTATTCCACCAGTTATTAACTGGTTTAGTTCTCAAACAAGATTTTGTTGTTATTCAAAATTACAAAAAATATAAAACAATTTTGGGCTAAAGAGTTTTCTGATAGTGATTAGACAAAGAGAGATTAAGTTTTCTTTATCTGTCTATCTCTCTAGGCAGTAAAATGGGGCCACTGCAAAGCTTATCTCAAGAAAACAAAACAGAGGATAACAGAAAGTTCTACCTATAAATATATTTCAGCTAATAATCTGAAAAAGAATGACAGAATTAGAGAATTACAACTCAGCAGCCCCTAATGGATTAACAGATGACAGTGAGGATCCTCAGTGACTACCAACATCACCACAAAGGAAAGTACAGACCTTATGTATCCTGTAATAGAATTGGAGTATCACCTCTAGAGTGGTTTTGTCAACAAATAGTATTGGAACTCACTATGTTAACAGATAAAGAAGAGAAAGCATTTGATCATGTGCAAGACTAAATAAAAAACCTCAGATTAAAAACTCAACACCAGTCCATGGTAATAACTTTTAGAAAAGCTTATATTAGAATTTCCATATAAAGTCAACAGCAAACATATCTAAGTGTGAAATGTTAGAAACATTCCCAGTAAAGTTCGAAGAGGACATGGAGGTATTGTACCTACTCTACTGTTCAAACCTAGACTGGATTGGATAGCCAGTACACAGTCGTACACAGGAATATCAAAATAAAAGTTATAAATAATGAAAAGAAAGATAATGTAATTCTCTAATTAAAATCTCCAAAGAAATCAGCTGCCCAAAATTCAAATATATAAGGAACTCCAGAAAGCTGGTATAGAAGATCACTATAGCAAAATCAGGACTCTTAGCATACAAAATAAATAACTAATTAGAATATGTAATGGAAAAATACACCATTCAAAACAGCAGTGATATCCAAAATATACCTAAAAGGAGAACTATCAAATAGGTACATAATCTTTACAGAAGCAAATATTTTAAAAATTACTGATAAACTTAGGTAAAAGAAGTCTCAAATAAAGCAATATGTTATGCTTATTCATGGTGGGTAGAATATTCTACAGACGTCGATTTTCCTTAAATTATTTACAGATTTACACCTTACCTGATGAGCTTCGTGTCACGTCAGCAGAGAAGCAGCTCAGCACCTACAAGGCGTCAAGGTAAGACACGGAGTGAGGACTGACAAGAGAACCCACTCCAAAACAAGGAGCCACACAGAGCCCCCTACTGTGAGTCTCGGGAGGTCTCAGACATGGCCGCTAGGCTGGAGTTCCCCTTTACGTCCTACTGCGGGTTTCTGAGGGAAATGAGAACCTTGGTCTGAGGCCAGCTGACTCGGCTCAGCAGGAGTCCCAGGCCCTGTCAGGAGTCAGGAAAGACCCCTGAGTGAGTTCTGCGTGATTCCTTCGCCTCCCCACGGCCAGAACAGAGAAGGAAGCCCCCAGGACCCCACACCTGCTATAACACTGGGACGCTCAGGTGGGCATGGCCGGAAGTGCTCTCCCTGACTTCCGCCACACCAACTGAGGAGCCGGAGGCTTCGGTCTGAGAGGTGTGGCCTCCTATCGGCAGAGGGAGGAGTCCCAGGATCGAACAGATGTCAAGGTGTGTAATCTTTGTTAGAACTGAAAGGACACACTCCTCCCAGGACTGAGGCAGCCCCACAGACTCCCGCCCTATCCTGAAACGCGCCACCCACACCGACAACTCCGAGTGGCTCAAGTGTGGCTGTTAGGCCCAACGGCCCCCGGCCCACTTCCGCCGGGAGAATTTGTGGGATGGGGAGCCTTGGTCTGACGGGACAGCCTCAATTCAGCAGAGGGAGGAGTCAAAGGATTGGTCAGGAGTCAAGTTTAGTATCCTGGGTTAGAACTGAGGTGATAAGGCCCTGCAGAACAGAGAGAGCCCACAGAGTTCCGCCCGCCCCTGTCTCGTGGGTTCCTAAAACAGTACCCTTAAGGGAAACAGCGGAGTCAGATTTTCTTGGATCCAAGGTAGAAGAATCTCTCTACCGCAGCTGTGTGCACCACCTCTCCCTCTGTCTTCTAGGGTGACCTCTTCAGCAAACTAATTGCTTGAACTCCTGCCTGCTGTCCCTGACAGGAGTCATCATGCCTCGAGGTCATAAGAGTAAGCTCCGTGCTCGCGAGAAACGCCGGAAGGCCTGTACTGAGATCCAGGGTCTGGAGGATGCTCAGGCTACCGCTGCAGCAGCAGGAGAGTCTCCCTCCTCGTTCTGTCCTCCCTTCGAGGACAGACCTCAGAATGTACCTGCTTCTGGGACACCTAGCATTCCTCAGGCGGCTCAGGGAACCTCCAGTGCTACTGCAGCTGTGTCGTGCACCGATTCAGGTGAAGGTGCCAATGGCCAAAAGGAGGAAAGCTCAAAATCCTCCAAGGGCACTGAAGGCTCACAAACAGATCCTTTAAACAAGCAGGTGGTTTTGCTGGTGCAGTTTCTGCTGCAGAAGTATCAAAAAAAGGAGCCAATTACGAAGGCAGACATGCTGAAGTTTGTTATCAAAAGGTCCAAGTGTCATTTCAATGAGATCCTCAAGAGAGCCTCTGAGCACATGGAGCTAGCCTTTGGTGTTGATTTGAAGGAGGTGGATCCCACCAGGCACTGCTATGCCCTTGTCAGCAAACTAGATCTCGCCTTCGATAGCACGGTAAATGAAGAAGAAATCATGCTCAAGACCGGCCTCCTGATGATTGTGCTGGGTGTGGTCTTCATGAAGGGCAACTGTGCCCCGGAAGAGGCGGTCTGGGAAGTGCTGAATATGATGGGTGTATATGCTGAGAGGAAGCACTTCATCTATGGGGATCCCAAGAAGGTCATCACCGAAGATTTGGTGCAGCTCGAGTACCTGCAGTACCGCCAGGTGCCTGACAGCGATCCTCCCCGCTATGAGTTCCTGTGGGGCCCGAGGGCCCATGCTGAAACCAGCAAGATGAGAGTGCTGGAATTTTTAGCCAAGGTTCATGATACGGTCCCCAGTGCCTTCCCATCCTGCTATGAAGAGGCTGTGAGAGATGAGGAAGAGAGAGCCCAAGCAAGAGCATCAGCCAGGGCTGCCATCGCCAGCGTGCGCTCCGGGGCCATGGCCAGCAACTTCCCCGAGGCTAAGTGAAGTTCAAGGCTGGTTCTTCTTTACTTTTTTGGTTGAAAAAAGGTGTGTCAGTCGTCTAATGGTGGAGGGCCAGGGTGGGACTGGAAAGGGTATATCATCCCTGTGTTCCAGCTGTATATTGCTAACACGCAATTTTACTTTTTTTTTTTTTTAGGTTATATTTCAAACAGTGAAGTCTGAGGAGGATTGTTTTCCTTGTGAAAAAAGCAGTAACATTCTAAGCGGTGGATGCCCAGAATGGGTCTGGAGGCAACCCAGTGCAAATCATCTTTGTGCTCCTATTCTATATGGTAAACTTAGAGTTTAATCTTTTCCTTTTTTTCTTTTCCTTTCCTTTCTTCACTTCTCTTTTCTTCCTCCCTCCCTTCCCCCTTCCCCTTCCTGTCTTTCTTTCCTTTTGTTATAGTTTAAATGTTGTTTCTTTAGTAGAAGGTGCAAATTTGTGATTTTGGTTGCATATTTATTAGATTTAAGTTAATAGGTATAAGATGAGTTTTATCTTGTAAAACAAGTTGGGAAACCTTTCATATTTACTGAACTAGAATAACAAAACATGGCATGGTAATAGGCATTTCTTTGGAAATGTGAAAAACTTTCGCTGTAAAAGTATTGGGATCAAAAGAATAGGAGAAAAGTAAAAAATGTGCAGTTTTTCTTTCCCTTATCCATTTTAATCTGCTGTCTGGTAAAAATAAAAGATATATACCTGGATTTGCTTAGCTTATTAAAGAATGCAGGAGAAATAAAATGTTTACAAACTAGCAATCATGGTCACTGGCTCGTTCATTCCCCAAATATTAATTGAGCATCTGCTCTCTGAAAGTTATTGTGTTAGAGATGGTGAAACTAGGATACACAGCTCCCCTGCCTTCAGAATTCTACAGTCAAGGAGCAGTAATTATACAGAGAACGTGGTGAAATAGCCTCTACGACCTAAAGGACAAGTAAGAAGCAGTCAGGAGGTAAGGGGGCAGGAAGGAGGTTGGGAGAAGTGGGAAGGGGAGAGTGTCCGGCTGAAAACAATGAAGTACAGATTCTCTGGGGATCCGCAATTTGGGGTTTTGAGAAAATACAAGTCTCAGTGAGATATCCTGTTGATTTAAGCTGGGTGGTCGGCTAGATGAGGCTGTGGGACTGTTGAGCAGAGGTGTTCTCAGCACTGACAGACAAAATCCTGGAATGCAAATCGGCTCTTAAGAGCTACTTTAGTATCATCAGTAAGCCAGAGGAAAAGCTCCTCCTCAGGCAGAAATGGAAGGTGTCCTGTGCTCTTGTTCACATACAGCTGAACACAGAGCAAAATCTAGTTGTTTTGTGCACAGGATCTTCGAGGAATTTGAGAAATAAGGGTGATACTTCCTTGAGATGGAATGAGAACCAGATCCCAAGGCAATGAGAGGGCAATTTAATTAAGTTATCTTGAGTGTAATTCTGCCAAACTCTAAGGGAGGGCTCCATATTTGGTGGTGAAGAAATGATGAAAATACAGGTGATTTGGATGGAAAGGCACCCAGGCAGGAACTTTTTGGTCCTTGACACAAATTCTAGGACCTCTGAGTTGCATCCACCTGGGGAAGACTCCCTGACACACAAATTAAGTAACATCCTCAAGTGGGGGAAATTTATTTAGTTTTACTTGCTAAGCAGCATCATGGGCTCATTTGGTGGAAAGCTGCTTATTCTGTGATGTCTCCTGAATTAATAAGACATACATCTTCCCAGAGGGGAGGGTGGTATCATCCGTGGTTAAAAAAGGAAAACTCATAAGATAACTGCCATTCATTAAATTTTAGACCTTCCTCTGTCAAGTGCTTCATATCCATTACATATCTTCCAACAGTCCTACAAGAGAGGGCTTTATCAGACACACCCTGCAGATGAAGAACTTGTGATTTTCTCAAGTTCACATGGCTGATAAATGAAAGAGCTGGGACTAGACCCCTGGTCCAAATTTTTCAAGAGTCCACACTTTTCCACATCTCCAGCCTGAGGCAGACCTTCCGTCTCTTCATTCTCTATTATTCTCACTACTCCAAGAAGGATCACATACAATTATAAAAGTACACAAAGCAGTCCTGATGAAGGAAGGTGAACATGAGAATAAAGTACATTGTGGGGACAGTCTGTGGGCTTCATTGGCTGAGGACCCTGCTGTCCCCAGCCCAGGTTTCCCTGACAGCTGGCTCCAGAGCACTTTCCTGCATTACAGAACGTTTCCCCTGGGTCTTCCTCAGTGTGCCCTCCTGTCCAAATTGGAACCTCATATGCTGACCAGCTCTTCACTGTGTCCTCTGGAGCTGCACCCTGTTTCCTGTGATGCAAACAGTCCAGAGTCACCTGCCTTCCCTTGATTAGAGTGGTCCAACTCTCTGTAGGCGTACCTTGAAGGTCCCATCCCTCCCAGAGGAACCACTGACAGTGAAGTTTAGAAACCTCATTACCACAGCCACACCCCCACACCTCAAGCCTCAAAGTGTATTCTAAATGAGCTGGTGATTAGAGTCTTATTTCTTACAGAAGATACTGGTTCTTGGGATATAACTGAAGTTGAATGGGGAGTTTTGTAAACAACTCAGATAGCGTCAGTAGGATTTTGGAGGAATGTGCTATTTGAGACCAGCCACTGAAAACATACGAATGAGCTTACCTCATTTGGTTATGGTC